CAGTGCTTCCGAGCTTTTCAGTTCACGCTTCATTTGCTATATACACGACGAATTCCCATTTGAAACATGTCTGTAAGTTGGTGAGTATACGGTGTTCGGTTTTCAAATTTGTTCCTTTTAACTACAATCACCAAGCGAGTGTAGTTGACTCTGGATAAAGGTTTTAACTTCTCCAGCCTGCTTAACGCTTCGTGCCAAATCGCTGATGCGCCCTCCACGAGTGAATTGCAATGAGGCCAAAACCCAAACTGTGTGTGGTTGGATCGAGAAAATTTTGGTGTCCAATGTGTCATATGACGTGGTCGGCATCGGGACGAATATGGAAAACCTCCCACACCGCCTGATTTTACTGGTCGCTTGAAGAAATGCCTGGGAGACGAACAGTCTGTCTCATTTACCGAGTATTGGTTTTTATGCGAGTGTTTAAACTAAGTAGGATGAGATGTCTGGGGCTGGTGTTTCACCTGTCCCCAAATGGGATTCCACCGCGTGCGATGTTTGCAGAGACGGGCAGTGGTTGGAAAAAGGTCAAAGGTGAAAAAACAATGATTTGACACGGCATTACGAGAACGCTGATCAAGGATGCTGGTCATATAACACTGATTGGTTGAGGACTTCGTAACCAGCCCAACCGACGGCTGAATATCATACGCCGTGGTACTCGGACAGGTGCTCAATTTCTGTGCGTGTGCATTCTGTGTTCCGTCTTGGTTCCTCTCCCGACATTATACTTCTTCATTTCCACTGTTCAGAAGATAGCTACAGAAATTGATGTCCAAAAGTGCAAGTTTAAATGTTATTCCGACAGCAAGGGAGTGAATTTGATGAGTCCTGAGTGATCACTACGTTTGGAACATTCACCGGGGACTATTTGATTCCCCATACGATAGAGATTATAAGTATGGATCAAACAAGCCTAACTAATAGTTTTCGAGATTATTATCTGAGAGATAGTTTGGATTAAAACTCACCGGTGTAATTTGATAGTCTGAGGTAACCGGAATAGGCACCACGAGACATTTGAGCTCTAGTGGCAGCCTCGAATGATTCACGATGTGGACTCGACTTTCCACCGACAACACAAAAAACGGTACACCAAATTTTCCAACACTATCTTCCAGGAGGCGAACAGCTAAACAAACGATTTGATTCGGAAGAATGATGGTTACATGTGACGGTTCACCCAACTGTGTCGGTAGAAGTCGGATCTGATTGAACTCAGAGTAGGTGGGTGCATGAGAGTCGTCAGTGGAAGACTGTTCTGCGATGAGATTACAACAGCGTACAATTCCCGATTTGGCAAACTGTTCAATAGAGGAGCACACTGCGGCGGAAAACTCCGCAGGATCAAGGATTAGGGTCTCTGTGGACCACGAATCCTCATTGTTCATAGAACGAGAGCCAAAACGAATCCAGGACTGTAAACGGGGGAAATAATAATCATAATTTAAAAAAACAGTTCAGTGTAGTTTTCATAGAAAATATCGAAACAGTTAGCATTGCAAGGAATTCAGTCGAAATATCTGGGGTTTTATTGCTTTCAAAGACGATTAGGATAATGATGATATGACACAGAAAACAATACAGAATCATCACTGCGTATCTGATGAGGTTTCTCAAACCAGACATCGAAACTGACCAGGAACGAACACATGGAGAAAACACANTTTTGGTTGCCTATCAAATGAGATATCGCCAAGAGAGTGATTAGGTGGATTATAGGAGGGGGAGGGAAGATGAGAGCAGTCTGGTCATGTTAACTCACCCGATTGATGGGCATTGCACAAACCGATCGATCGGTAAGCGTACGAACGGATCGAATGAGCGCGGTTTCTCGACTCCCGGGTGCAGTAAACTCGACTAAAAGGTCTAAACCAGAACGATTCACAATACGAACGGCTGGGCATAGAACGACTTGGGCGTTGTAAGGCATAGAATTGAAAACGTCCACGGACGATTTCGCGAAAACGGGTCCGGAGTAGTTGGGTAATAAACGGCCAGTGGTGTATACGATTGGTGAAGATTGCTTCACAAACTCAACACGAGCATTGCTTGAGTGAATTTCGTCGCATTGAATCCAAAATGAGCCCAATCGGGAAAGAAGTTGATCGGCGGTCAAACGAATGGGTTCATTAAACAGAGGGGTATTGGGACCACTGACATCAAAACAAGGGTTACAAAGGGACCGAATATACATCCGTTTAGTTAACAGGTTATGCTAAGATGTATTCAATTGGAAAGGAATAAGTGAAATGACATGATATAGCAATAAAACTGAAATTAAAAAAGCTGATAAGCACCGATAGATAAGTGAAGTGGAGCAGGGACAGGACTCACGTGACTGCACTCAGCAGTAGTTCCGTGGTACAGGCCAATTGGTACGGGGTAAAATGAATTTCTGGCCAGTCGGTCAAGGCGATACTGTCAGGTTTCCCGGAGGGTAGAGTGGATGCTTCAACGACCGGTGCTACGAGGTGTTGGCGAGAGGGGGTGATCGGGTCGGATTTCGTTTCGTCATCCCGGAGAGAAGGGTATCGATGAANATCGATGAATAGGATGTATTTGCAGTTGAAATGAGACGGGCACTGAGCTGATCACCTCGAACACAGGAGCAATGGTCACCTGAACATACCGAAAGTAAATATACATTACGACGCGAAACTAATCACTGAGGGGGTCACTGTGGTGTTTTCGATTAGGAAAAAAGACGCAAATGGAAGTTCCGGAATAGATCGATAGAATTAGAACAAACTGTAATAGTCATGAGATAGCAGGTTATTGAGCATAATGATCTGGACTGAATGGAATGTGCATGGGAAACAAAATGGACGACTGAGACACGTTTGAAACTGATTGAAAGAATACACCAGCGAAATGATGCAAATCGTCTGTTCGTATGATAAATTCGTTGGTAGATGAGGGGAAGAATTAATATAGCTCAGTGATTGTACGTTGATCACAAAACTATAGTAAAAGGAAGGGGGACAATTGCAAGGCAACTGAATCGGCGTAACGCGGAATTTTCCTATTATCCATATGCTTAAAACAAGGAAGTCAACTTCGATTAGCATGCCGTGCAAACAACAAAAAAACAGCTTAAAGCTTCAGCATGATCACGGGGGAGGTTCTTGAAATGGGACTGGCTACCGTTCACTTGCATCTCGCGAAATGCTCCTACACGACCAGGTGCATCAAACAGCCTCCGTTGAGGAAGCCCTACCTTGTGGTGGTGTTTTCCAACAAAAAATGTTAACATCCGGGGCTATAATCATGTCGGTAAACAGCGGGGACCTAGGGGAGTCGGCTAAATGCCGTAGCTCCAAACCAACCAAGAATAGGCCAACGAATCACACACTTTCCTGATTCCAGCAATGATCACCGGCTCGATTGCACCGTTGAGATATTTGCCCCACACAACGGGTGCACGATGCGATAAACTGGACACCCGACCCCGATAGACTGTGGTGTCTAAACAACGCCACGTGGTTTTGTGGGTTAGGCTGCGGTTAGCCGAAGGCTTCTGTCGTGAATCTTCAAGAAAATTCCTCGGTTTCGGCTTGGGCAACCTGACAGTATCTCGCACGCCAGTAAATCATGGAACTTTCACTTTGTTGTAAAGATTATTTTAGCGTGATTTGTTTGGCACCCAGTCTGGATTTAGACGAATGTGAAATAGTATACAATAATAATGATAATAACAAAATAAAACCAGAGCTTATTCCGAGTAGTGGCTGTGGAGATTCGGAACAGTCTTTCTACTCATTAAATCGGCAGCCGTATGTGTCAAATACATCATTGGAAGACGTAAGGAGTACCGTTTCACACTTACTGGAAATCATTTTCAGTGCATATCAACCGAGCTCGTGACGATTTGTGATGGATATTTTCTCATCCATAGTATGTAACGGAACAAATGAGGCTTGTGACACCAAAAGCTGTGCCCGTAACTTTAAAAGCAACGCATAATTCTGTTGTAGCGACAGACAAAATTATAGCAACCAACACATGAAACTATGCCCTCCGAGTTGGCGCAGCATAAAAAACAACATTCAGATGTCATTGCTGATCCGATCCGATCAACAGTGCAGTTACGAAAATCAGCATTCTTAGGTTCCTAGCTGGGAATCGAGAACGTTGCTGAGTTTAGAGTGACAGTAAGACCACATTTAACCAAACGGAGTCCATCCAGATGCGGTCATCAACAAGATAGTTGGGAAGCATTGCAGCAGCAGCATTGAGCAGTCATCGTTAAACTGGTACCAGCCGGCCAGTCCGAGCCAGAACCGACTGGTAACACAGTTGACTGAGCACGTTAAATGGTGTGACTTACCAAACACAGCGCTAACGCCAATGGTCCAAGCGAACGAAATTCGACTGTGAGAATTACGGAGAACGGCCCGCGTACGTCATCCAAACAACCGGGTGGGGGGGAGATAGAAACCTGATGCAAAGTGCACAGGAATGAAATTATTCACAAACCGCTGGTTTACGGAGGCATCTAATAAGCAGATATGGATAGATTAAATATTATGGTTTGTAAAGCGGGAAGAGAAACCCAACGATCGATGCGCAAGCCTAGGGCGCTGGATTAAGAAATCAGTGAGTTTGAATTAAGAATACAAAAGACAGCGAGTAAAAACGAATAGATAATAAAGAAACGGAAGACCCTTGACTCCAATTTGGCCTTATTCTGTGACGAAAAAGTAGAATTAAACCCTACAGTCAATAGGATCCATTGTTCATCCACGGAAACCTGTCAACCTAAGCCTCGGAACGTTGAGTGATGAACCACATAAGGCCTCGCTAGATTCAGTGTGCTACTGAGTCGAACGAAAGCAAAGCTTCCTACCATCAAATTTGGCTGGCGGGGTTCGGATGAGGTTCGAACCCGGGGCCTTGGGGCACAAAGCACTCCAGAGAATCAGATCGCCTGAGTACTATCAAAGCCCAGGAAGAGGTGACAATAATAATTATAAGGAGGCTTTCAGGGGAAATTTCTGTTACATTTGAGCGCAGCTCAATTGGACATCACGGTACTGGGGCAAATTTAATTGATACCAAATTATTCAGTATAGTTCTCAAAATTCTAAAAATCAATATTAATACATTCGTTCTTGGTACGAAGCTCCTATACGTAAATTTTACGAATTGACAAAACCGATGACCTATTCCGATTTAGACGTCGCGTCATTCACTGACAAACACTGAAGCTCATGTGTATTACGGAATCATTGTTCGTTATCAGCGTTTGATGATGCGCAAATTGTGTCAGATCGAGTCAACGAACTCTGAAGTCACTGAATCGTTCGTTTAATTTTCTCTTACAATTATATCCACTTAGTCTGGCTTCAATGGTGTTTGCTCGGTTTTACCAACTACCACCGAGATATTTCATGACATGGATGCTGAAACGCCAAGATTTTCCGTTTTTGTCATTTGTAGTAACCNTCCGTTTTTGTCATTTGTAGTAACCAGGACGCTTCGTTTCTTTTTCTCTTTTTTCTTTTTAATTTTGCTTCCTTTTATTGAATATACAAAGTACGATTTTCAGGAAGGGGGAAGCGGCCGATCAAAGGACTGCCATTCAACACACAATGGGGAAAGTAAGGCGGTGGATGATAATTTGATGACATTACCACTGGGCCACCACCGCTCACCACTGACGGAGACTGAACGTCTCAAAGGCCCATGCGTTTTCAGGTAAACAAATAGCCATGTGATTGTTATCAATAACAATAACCTCATTACGTATATGTATNTGATATATATATATATATATATTCGGGAAGAAAGCCTCGGTAGATATAGTTTCGTCAAGGGAACTCACTAAGTCAGGTGACACTGATGGAGCACAGAAACCACTGAGCAGTAGTAGACTAGCAACTCTGCCACAGATCGAATTACGTTGGTAGGTAACAAAAAAGACGGGGATGGGTGAGTGGATGTAGATGCTTCGGTACACATCCGGTTATCACACTCCGAGTGTGTCGTGGATAAAAGAAGGGAAGAAAACGGATTCGCATCTATTTCTTGCTGAGACAATATGAGTTCTGAGGTTGAACTATCACAATCCTAGGGCAATTTGAATGTGCTAAATGAGTACAAATCATGACGAACTATGAATGGGTTTCTCTGTGATGATAATAATGACAAAGAGCACGAAACGGTTTTTGTTGCATCCTTGATAGGGTTGTTCAGTAATGTCTCTGAACCTAACCTACAGTAAAGACAATAAAAAGGCTTACGTCCTGACAAAGATTGTGCTTACAAAAACATAATCAGTGAATAAGTAAATAAATAACCAAACTGCGAGGAATAAGAAAGAGCTAAACTCGAAAAAACTAAATTAACTTTATCGACCAGGATTCGAACGCAAAAAATAACAACGAAGAGGCTTGATCCACTACCCACTATCAAGAACACGAATAAGATTTTGATTCGGCGGCGGGGACGAGCGGCTACGAGGGTCCCAATAGTAACCCGAGAGATCGCAATACCACCACCTTATTTTTCCGCATTTTTCATGTATCGTATGACTGCCCTTTGGTTGGTCGCTTCCCTTTTCCACAGAATGGTTTTTATTGCCAATATATTCAATAAATATTTTTCGGCGAATGGAGCACTACTACAACCATTGGATAATAATATGAAAATTACAAGGTACTTACCACAGTACGTAGACTGGTTAACAGAGAGGCATAATTTGCTTTCGGTCGGGTTACACGGAATTGCACGGGCTGAGACCATGAAGATGAGGATCCATTATTAGTATTGTCCAAATCTGCCGAGGACAGAAGTAGCCGCAAAAGATGGTCAGGAGAAGTATCGTATGAAGTAGAACAGCCCCAAATAGACAGATCATATGTGGATGGGCCTGAAGAAAGGTTGTACGTGTGAGATATCAATTTGTCACAGGTCGTCTGCCACGTTTCATTGGATTGCTCGGTTGGAGTCGGTGACTTGTACGGGTCGGCAGGTACAGAGAGAGATTGAACTTGCAGTCGAAGATTTGCGGGGATCAAGTTGCGCACGACCAGATTCGACTGAATGATCAACTAGTAACAGTGGATGAGATGGTGGGAACGGGAGAGGAAACACGTGAGGATTAATGACTAAAACATTTAAGAAATGAGATGGAACTGGCGTGGGCAAAGATACATTCAAGGGACGGAAGATAACATGTATAGCTCGTTCAAACTTAGTCACAGGTTGGATATCATGCCGTTAATCAACAATAAAATTAAGTTTTATAGTATGCGAGAAAAAAATTGACACAGTTATAATCAGCACAGAACTAACTCCAATATGATTCCCAATTAGGTCAGATACGCGGACTAGGCTCCCACTAAACTATCTTCGCCTGAGGATATGTACATAACTATACATTCATATCTAAATAAGCTTATGCGGAATGAATGTGTAGGAACAGTGGGAATAGCACCTCCGACCTGATAGAATATTGTCTCATCGCATAAGCTCCCAAGACCACTGGAAATAATGCAAACATACACTGTTATCTTGCCATATACACTTGGCTGAAAATACGATCACTCGAGAGAGAGAGAAGCCGGGTGACAAGGTGGGTGTTTCTGGTCCCACACACACTCGTAGTCCCTTAAAGAGTGGTAACTTTTCTGAGTGTCATTTAAAGTTCAAGCGCTTCTGTCCCCTTTGAACTCAGGTTCTCATAACCATAAACTACAATATCGTCACAACCATATGAAACGGTAGGGATTATCTGAGTGAGCTAAGTGGGACGGTCAGTGAAGCTCATCAGACACGATTGGAATTAGCTCACGCATCTGTTTTGGTGCCAATGTGCATAGAGCATTGTAATTCGCCCACTATTCGCACCAATGACCTCTGTTTACGCACCATTGGCAGAGCACTTCCAATCAGTTGGGTGATTAGGTGCACTTGATGCGCAAATTGTCAGACATGCTGTGGCTGTATTTGAAGCAGACATCACAAATCAATCGAGGACACTGCACCAAGTTTGTCATCGCATTGGAATCGATAACCAAATCGTCATTCGTTGAGAGTAGAGTGATCAACAGTTGTGTGAATTTACATGTCCGCACAACAAGAAGCCCGACCAGTTTTCATTAGAGTCCATCAAACGAACAACCGGCTCCGAAAGTTCGCGTATACAAACTCATCTATGTTGAAAGTGCAGTTAAGAATAGTTATTCTAAGCGGTAAAAACTGACTCAGTTGAATGAATATCACCCACCTCTTCCGTCACAAAACGCACTTGTGGTAATCGCATTGGGAAAGCCATAGGTGTCACACAAACTCACCTCTCCCGGAGCGTATTCGGAATCCGCACGCATGACTACAAATACCAAGGCGGGAAGATCTATCGACTGCGACATCGATGTGTTGTCCGTATTATCCGAAGACCAGTGAAATGGGATAGCGAGCACCGGTTGACGGGAATGTGTGCTCGACTTCCTCGCAGATGGTGCATCACACGGTGGCCATGCAGTCTCTATGGCCCGGGACCACGAAAGATGTTCAGGCTTTAAAGATGGGATAGGGGTGGGAAGAGGCAAAAACAGACCATAAAGGTATGGCGTGTGTTGGTTTGCACATGGAGCATCTATGACATAGAGACAGAGCACATGCGATATTTTATACTCGGAAAAATAGATCTGTGTGCCACCGAGCCCATCCTCAGAGAAATGGCTCGTATCTCATGGACGAGCAGTAGTCGCGTTTGAGGATGTTGTGGATTTATCTCTTGGCCAGCGTTCTCCTCAAAAATCAAAACAGATAGCT